GCAACACTGAGGGTTGCAATCCGTTGCCGGACACAAAAAAAGACAAAAAGGAAAAAATAAAAAATAAAAAATAAAAAAAATAAAAAACAAAAAACCCCAAAAAACTGGAGGTGTCCTGTATTGCTAGGGCAATTATCGGGGAGCAACACCGAGGGTTGCGATCCGTTGCCGGACACAAAAAAAGACAAAAAGGAAAAAATAAAAAATAAAAAAAATAAAAAACAAAAAACCCAAAAAAACTGGAGGTGTCCTGTATTGCTAGGGCAATTATCGGAATCCTGCTGATGTAGCCAATTGTATCGTTAGCGCTAGGGCTCAGGGCCCACAGACCCTTCAAACACTTTGTACAGACTAGGTCACAGACCCCTCACATGGCTGGCTGGGTCACCAGACCCCTCACAAGCAGGTCCATGAGCTAGGTAATTGGGAAAAGATCCCAGGAGCTGTTGGCAGATGACACGAGCTCAGTCCTCAGCTTCCTCAGTAGCAGCAGCAGCATACAGCAGCCTCCAGCAGCAGTAGGGGCCTCCTTATAGCCCCCCACCCCCACCCCTGGGGAACCCCGGGGGTGAGAAGGGGTGGTAGAGCTGTGGATCAGAGCCACTGCGGCCTCCCTGGGGCCCACCACCCCTGCACCCCGGTGGGGGGAGGAGGGGAGGATGCTGCTGTAGATCAGAGCCATTCGTCCTTTATACTCAAGTCCGATAACCCAGGACACCTTGGTGTGAGTCAGACAACCCAGGAACACCTGGGTGCCCACGCACATCCACAGACAATACCCAAGGAACACCTGGGCACACATGAACAGTTACATCTTTACATCAAATGCTTGGCAAGATTCTCAACATCCGAGGAAGCCCTGACCATTTACCCATATTTTCCCTACATCTCCTTTCTACTCAGAGTTACTGCAAAGCTTCTCTCAATCCTTGGTCCCAAAGTGACCTACCTCACCTCTGTCCAGTAGTTGGTCTTCTAGTGAGGCATGGTAGTTCAGAAGTTTAGTCCTGATTCTGCCAGCCTTGTGACCTGGAGAAATTGATTTTCTCCCAGGCTTAGGGTCAGGATTAAATGAGTTATTATATGTAAAGCATATAGCAGGCATAGGGTACATAGGAAGCATCAATACCTCTTGGCTACTGTCCTTCCTTCATAGCTCACACTCTTTAGTCAGCAGACATTTATAGTACAGTTTCTATGTGCTACAGCCATAAAGATAAGTAAGAAATGGTCCCTATCCTTGAGTAATTTATATTCTAACATGCATGCATTTGCCCACAATTAAAATCCTTATTACCTCATCTTTCTAGCTATTTAAATGTTGTCCATAGCCCAGTTTGCTTTTTTTTCATGTCAGCTAACTTTTTCTTTCTTTTTTTGTGGCTGGCTGGTACAGGGATTAAACCTTGGACCTTGGTGTTTTCAGTACCACACACTCTAAACAACTGAGCTAATAAGCCAGCCCTGTGTCAGCTAACTTATGCATGACAAAGAACAGTTTTTCACATCTTAACTATTTCTGTTCAACTTTGATTCATCACTTACCATGTGCCCAAAATACTGTTAAGGACTGGAATGCAAAGATGGTATGTAAGCCGGTCTGTTTATTAGAAGCTGACAGGCTTTAGGGAAAACAAACAAACTACCACCACCCTTGCTCCAGGGATGAGACTAGAATCTACAAAATCTACAGAAGAGTTTAGTGCAGTGGTATCTTCTAAAAGACTTGTTGTGACCTCTTTTTTACAACTTTTCACTTGTGAACTGGCTACCTTGTATTTATTGCTTGTGTTAATGAGGATAAACAACCTCCATTCTCTCTTCTCCAAGGGGTCAGGTGTTAGCAGCAAGAGGGTACTTACTTCTTTTTGTTGAAACCTGGGAATGGGATTACTCCTTTCTCTCCCCAGTGGACTAATCTTGTAAAGTGGAAGCTATTTTCTTTCCTGGGGTTGAAGAAAAACCGGAGGAGCATAGAAAACCCTGGCCATCCATGCCTGGGTAGAACCACTTTGGTAAAAGTAACACTTTTGCTGCCACATATGGTAGAGATCCAGCAGACTACTGGGTAACACTGGTTTATATCCCTGTTTCCAGGGACATTCTCCCTTCCATACCAGGAGCTTCTTTTCAAAAGGCACACCTGAGGGAATCCTGGATGCAGAATAGGAAAGGTTGGCAATTCGCTTTCTCACACATACTGTTCTTTAAAAAATAATAAAATTTCTTTAAGAACTGAACTCAGAGACATCTCCTTGCTTTTATGATCATTATAGGTTTTATTTGGTTTGTTCATAATAAGTATATTAAATTTGATCTTATTTTAAAAGTCCATCCTGGCACAGAATTTAAATTAATGTCTTTCCGAATTATGAATGGGCATAGAAGCTCCTTTTAAAAAGCTTTAAGTATTTGTTGCCACAACAGGATCTTAGTATAATACTAAGCTTGAGAAAGATCGTTTTCTCAACAGAAATAATTTATTATTGATAGAGGCGATGTGAAATTATTAATTTTTTCTTGAAGCATGTTCTTTGTAAATGTTTTCTGGAGATGCATGAATTGAACTTAGTGATGTTCTCCCTTGATAAAACTTTATTTTATTTCATGTATTCTCTTGACTCCTGAGAGAATATGCAGTCTAGAGAGAGAACATAAAATCGTGCTAAAAACCCTACAAATGCTTTCAGTACATTACAGTTTACTTTTTGTTATCTGCTATGTTTCCTAGTGGTACATGAATACCACCACCCTCAGTGTTACATTTTGTGTTTTAGATGTCTTTGGTTCATTTATAGATGGTTGTCTATTAAAATTTCATATGCTTTTCATTTTGGCTTTACAATAATATTCTGGTTGATGTGAGTATACTGAAAGGAAAGTTTGCATTTAGAGTAATATGTTTTCTAGTTCAAAGAAAATACTGTTGTTCTATCATCAGATTATGTGATTTTTTAAAAAAACTTCCCAATAGTGGTGGAGATATGTAGATCTTAAAACATATTTAAGATATATGTTTCTGGTAACTCTTAGAAGGAAATGTATGTGTGTTTTAAACTAGCAGAGGAGTGCTTCAGACTGTGATCATTGGGGAAAAAAAAAATGGCATCCCCCTTTCTCCAACCAAGGAGATTGTTTTATGAACATAGTAAGAAACTGAAGTTAGCTCCAATTGAGGTTGTTGAGTTGGAAGAGAAGCATATGCCAGAAAAAATTCTATGAGCATTCTGAAAATACTGTTCATAGAGGCTTCAGCCCATTTAGTATTATTCATCACCATATTATTTTTATTTTATAATTTCCAGTGTACTTTTAACATAAATCTATAGTACTTGGACTAGCTGTGTTTACATTCTTTTCCATAAACCCCACAGATTCAAACTTCTGTTCTTTAACTGTTTGCTGTCACATTCTGTAAACTCAGGGGATTCGTCTTGGCTCCTAGGAAAAAAGTCTTTCTTACTCTCTCTTTCCCCTTTCCAGGATTCTTGGAACCTCAAAAAACTTCAGCTTTATGAAATAGAATAGGTCCGGTCTTTCTTCTTACAACCACTTTCCTCATTTCTCTCTTCCTTTGAAGATTCTGTAATACCTCTCGTACACACTCTGTCTGTATTAAGAGCGTTAGATTTCTTCAACCTCCATTCTCCATCTCTGAAATTTACCCAAGCCTTCACTGAAGACCTGAAGATACAGTTAGGGTACAATGACAGATAGAAATGAGTAAATGCTTTTAGCTTATCAAAAAAAAAAAAATGCTTGATACATCTGGGACTTTTTCAGTCTGTCCTCTTCTTTATGTAGCAAATGGCAAAATGGATCACTTCTCTAAAATAGATTTAACTTGTGAGGAGCTCTCCAGATTATAGTCCACAAATACTAATATGTTAATATCAGTTTCAGCCATAAATCATCTCTTTGGATCTCTGTCTCTTTCTCTGGAAATAGATTGTGAATGTAAATTTCAAACACTCATAATTTGTAGCGTGTAAGGAGAGAATGGTGAAAAGATGGGCTAGAATGGCTGTGCTGGGGATAGTGTGCTCACAATGGGGGACTGGGCTGTAGTGAGCCAACCTTTTCTCATTCCATGTCCTCTTTCCTTTTGGAACTCATTGGAGAATCATATAAAGTTATATGTCATTTGCATTTATCTCATCCCAATCTCTGCATCCTTTTTTTGAATTATGTGTGCCCCTGAATAAATGCTATCTACCATCCAATATTAAAAAAAAGAAAAAGAAAAAGATAAAGTGTGACAATATTTAGTATATGAGAGATTGAAAAGATAGGAAGTAGAAAACAGGAAAATGTATGTAACTTTGGAAGGAGTTCTGTATAGTACATTTAAGAAAGTTGGGGCAATTAATTTCTTTCTATTAATGTGTATATTCTTTTAAATTTAGGAATAGAAGGACAATCTGTAGAAGTTTCCAATATTGTGGACATTCGAAAAGTATATAATCGTGAGATTGCAATGAGAATTTCTTCTGAAATAAACAACCAAAATAAATTTTATACTGACCTAAATGGATACCAGGTGATTTTCCTTTAAAATATCTAAGTAATGATTGTATTAGTATGTAATTTTTATATAAGAAAATGGGACAGTTAATTTTGGATCCTTTGAAAAAAATATGCCTACAGTTACAAATTATTTCTAAAATAAAACTGAATTTTCATAACTATAGATTCTGTATTCAACCAGATTCCCAAAGTTATTTCCCAAACTATTTGAGAGACTTTTTTTTAGAACCTCTATTTGTAAGGATTTATTTTTTCAAAGAGAGATTTGGTGACCATTATGCATGTTAAGTACCTTAATGCTAAAATATGTATATGAATTTATCTACTAGAAAGGAAACATAATTAGTGATTGATGGATTATTTCTTGTTTTTTTCCTCATAAGAAATTGATCTATTCATATTTAGTTTATTCCTTATATATTTTTAAATGTATGATCTAATGGGCTCTTTTCAATTGCGTGAAAATCCTTTTCCTCTCTTTATCAACTTTTGTGTGTATGTGTGTATGTGTATAAATGTACACACGTTTATACACACATATGTATACATATACATAGACAAACATATCTATTTAAAAATGAGGGTAGGTATGCGAATAATCAAAGTTTTCATGAAATAGTTTTAAATAGTAGTAAGAAAATTAATTCATACAGTTTTTTCGGATTGTCGAATCTCTCACTTAATAGAGCACTTTTGATTCTTACCTATATCTCTATATTCTGAGTGTATGTGTGTGACAATGTATCTTTGAAATAATACAGTTTAAAACATCAGAATGTTTTTGAAACATTCACATTTTAGAAATTTCTGGCTATGAATAGAAATAATTTCACAACTAATGCTTTTACTTTGTTTGATATTCAACTGGGGATTAGTGGAAAGGATTGTGATAATTTTGTCTCCTATAATTTCCTGCAAAAGTTAAATTTAAACCTTTTCCAAAGCATAAAAATCACAGCATACATTCTGAATTAACATGTTAATTGTACTACAGCCATTTGGTTTTCAAATGCAACCCTGCAACCCTGATTTTATGGTGATTCATTTTCCTTGTATACCAAAGAAAGCCTTTCCTTAAAATCTTACAGAGCAATTATTTGTATGTGTGGGTGTATACATAAATGAGAAAACCTAGTAGAAATGAATAAAAATGTGAATTTTCTTTTCAAGGATTGAACATTTGGACAAATAGGAAAATATTATTTTTAAATTTATCTAAATATTTCTGCTTTTTATCTTTGGAAATAGTAGTCCTTGGGCAAAACTAGAAATCTAGACCCCCAGGTTAGGGGTGCAGGTAACAACAAAACAGTTGTGGTAGTTTTAAGTGTCTTTTTTATAAGTTTAGTATGCAAGTTTATTGGGATGGGAAGATCAGGATTTGAAAGGAGAAATGGAGAATTCTTTCAAGGTAGACTTTCTTTTTTAAAAATAATTTACAGCTGTTTCTTCACCAGTTTATTAATTTCCTAGGGCTGCCATACAAATTATCACAAACTGAGTGTCTTAAAACAATAGAAATCTATTCTTTCACAGTTCTGGAGGCTAGATGTCTAAAATCAAGGTGTCGGCAGGGTCATATTTTCTCCAAAGGTTCTAGGGAATTATCGTTTCTTGCCTCTTCCCAGCCTCTACTGGTTGCCAACAATCCTTGGCATTACTTAGTTTATAGATACATCACTCCAGTCCCCACTGTGTTGTTACGTATTGTTCTCCCTGCATTTTTGTATGCGTCTCTTGGTGCCCAGATTTCCCTCTTCTAAGGACACCAGTCATTGGGTTACGGCCACCCTAATCCAGTATTACCTCATCTATTTCTGCATAGACTCTATTTCAAAATACGATCACATTCACAGTTGTGGATGGACATGAATTTTGGAGGACACTGTCAACCCAGTACAACCAGTAAGTTGAGAGACATACTGCAGGGTTGTTGGGAAGACTAAAGGTCAGATTTGTGAATACCATGCCTTCTGTTCATGTGTATTCAATACACGTTAACTATTACGTAAACTTTGTACCTCTCTTTTTCTTAAGTTTCATGTCAAACTTTCATGAGTTTAAATAAGGAGATGGCATTTTTATGTGGTGTAAATAAGTTCACTGATAACAGGTTCTTGAGGTTAGAGTTAGTCACCATGACTTAGACTGGCTTGGGGTACCAGCAGTCTCTCTCAAAAAATAAAAGTTAAAGTTATATTTTCTGCATTCAGGTACTAGGCTATGAGAAACTGGCACTGAGAACTATCTGCATTGAAACTAAACAAGAAAAGTGAACATATAAATATGCATTTGATTATAATGTGATGTGTTAGAGGATTTGGTGGCGAGATCTGTGGTATTTTTTAAAGCCGATTCAAGAATATAAGAGATATTTCTTGAAAGGGGATAGAGAGCTATTATGTGTAGCATTCATTACAAAAACAGTATGTTAGATTTAAATGAGAAATGAATACTTAATACCTTTATGATTTGTTTTATGCAAATATTGGAGTGCTGGAAGACTTTCGTGAAGCATTTTTATTCTGAATTTAAGTAGGAATGTCTATTTTAAAAATCTGGACATGTTCTATCTTTCCCACTTAAAAATTGTTTCCTAAGATCCTAGTGATTTTTCTTCATATTGTTTTAAAGGATGTTTTCATTTTTAAATAATTTCTTCCCTTGAACAGAAAAGGAAGCTGCTACTTTTTCTCTTTGGAAGAAAAGTCATCTGTACTGAACACTAATTTTTTAAAGTACAATGTAAATATCATTTTTTAAGAGAATTATTTGGTTTTATAGATTCAACCTAGAATGACAATGAAAAAATTGCCTCTTCAAGCAAATGTCTATCCAATGACCACAATGGCGTATATCCAGGATGCTGAACATCGTTTGACGCTGCTCTCTGCTCAGTCTTTAGGTGTCTCGAGTTTGCATAGTGGTATGTATTGTTGAAATTCTTTTTTGCTCTGAAAAGTTTCAGTTCCAAGTGTATAATATTTCTCTTGGTCAAATGTTGTTATTGTCCTTTCCAGTTAAAAACTCCCTGTCTTCTTTCCAGCTTTTTTCTTTGAAGAACCAGACTGTTAGTTTTGGGTTTTATGAGAACAACTTAAAGTGATGAATTTTGTCAATCTTCAGATGAAGAAAAAGGGACATAAAACTCCACATCATGATTGTTTGTAAAGATAATTTACTTCTCCTGATAGCCTTTTGTTTGCAGAGGTCTCTGCCATCATCGTGATTTAACAGATATGCAAATTCAGACTCCTAATGTTTAGATAACTTCCCAAAGTTTGCTAGGAATTTTCATAATTCCAACTTAAGTCCTTCTCTGGATCATAGTCTTTCTATCCCACCCAGAAGAAGAAAGAGAGTAGAGATGGTACAGATATGGGGATAAAGAAGTATGGCTTTAAGGATTCCAAAAAGAGAGAAAGCAGTGCAGAGAAAGTGAAAGAAATAGATAGTAGACACTGATTAATTTTCGTAAAACTTTCTGAGAGACTTTGATCCTTTATAATACATATTTTAATTCGTTATCATACAGTTGTCAGTTGCTCTTCTTTTTTACATACTAACAGTTGCTAAACATAAATGTCCAGAAGAGTCAAGCAGATAATAAATGAGTGCAGATGCCTGGTGTGTGCATTGACAAAAACCCACTTTTTATATTAGGCATATATATGCATTCTATACTTCCACATACAGAAAAATTACTACTTCTCATTTTTTTTTTTTTTTTGTAGTCTTCATTAGACAAAATCAAATGAACTCATGCCATAAAGACATGAATTGAGTTAGGAACAAAAATAATAATGGCTTCACCCAGGGATCTGATATGGAGTGGTAGGGACCTGAGCAAATTAGAGAGCACATTCCCCATGTATGGTGGGACAGTGCTACTTCATGCCCTTTAATTGTCGCAATGGTTGTAGGGGCCCAGTTGGTTGCCAGTTTTTTAAGAAGAGTCCAGAAGTCTTGAATTTTTCAGGAAGTCGTCCAATCTATAAATGTTGGCGTAATTTTTTAAAAACACTGTGTAACAAAACATAAAACATCTTAGGCCTCTTGACTCTTGAGCCACCCATTTTTAAACCCTGCCTTAAATTCTCAAAATTGTGCCCTAAATAGGGAAGTAGACATTAGGACTCAAGCAGTGGTGAACCAAGCAGTATTATCTCACTTCTGGATAAAGACGAGTTGAGAAATAAAGCTTCTCTGCTTCTGCTGTTAGACACCTGAACACCCTAGTATATGAATGAAAACAATTTGAGTGCAATCCAGAAAATTATTAAGTGCCACGTGTTATATGGACTAACATTTGGAGGTAGGAGGAGAACTAGGAATTGCCAAAAGGTTGATGTACTAATGTGAGTGTGAAATGACAAGCTCTAGGTAGGCATGGGACCGCTTAGCCTGTGTGCCTGTGGTGTAAGTCCTAGATGGTTGTCTTCTAAAATATGAAGTAGTAACAACAAGAATTCTACACATCACTGATTATTTAAGAAACTAAACAGAGTTGGTTTAACTGTGTAAGAGTTATAGTTATTAAAATCTTCTATGTTAGATATTTCTCTCTTATATCAAAAGATCACTTAGTAGAGTAATGGATGTGAATGAATACACATGTTTTTATAATGTATATAACTTTAGTTTTTTAAGTCTTATTTGAGTATAATCTTAAATGTATACATATAGCTCTGGTTTTTTGTTCTGTTTTTAAGTTTTTTCAGTGCATAGTATCATAACCTAAACATTACCTTACAACTTAAACTAGAGGAAATGCAGAATTATCATGCAGCAAATGAAGGAAGCTTATATGACCCCTTTTAAACCAGAGGAGTCAGGACAGTGGCAATGCCACTAACAAGGAAGAGAGTAATGATAGATGTCTCCAAATTCGAGGGCCTCTTCAGAGAACTGCTACATATCAAGTAACCTAAATTTTATTTGCAAATCTTTTTTAGATCCTACCCGTCTGTATTTATCTCATTACTCCATGTGTGATGGGCATTTTGTAATAAACCTTACAAGCATTTTAAATTCCAAATGCTGGCACTAAAAGTTTTGGCGAACTTAATGTACTCTTCAGATTAATTTTTTTGAAAAAAGTTTCCTTTAAATTTTGATCTGTCCTGTCCCATTTTGAAATTTCCTATCAGATATTGCTAAACATTAATGAAGAGATGCAGAAATGCTATCCTGTTTTATGAATTTATACTAGCTGCTTTTGCGTTATCACCACGCGAAAGCCCATGAGTGGTTTGTACAGATCTACCTCCTTGATTAGAAGGAAAATTTAAAGCAAGACATCATGCCTTCTACTTAAGTGATCCTCAATGAATATCTATATTAAATAACCCTGGTCAGTTTGTTTGTTTATTTATTTGTTAGGTCAGATTGAAGTTATCATGGATCGAAGACTCATGCAAGATGATAATCGTGGCCTTGAGCAAGGTGTTCATGATAACAAAATTACAGCTAATTTATTTCGAATACTACTAGAAAAAAGAAGTCACCTTAATACGGTAGGAAAAAAATAACTGGCATGTTTTGATGTTGTTTGTTCCTTGTCACCCAAAACTGGAATTATGGCTTTTCACTTTTAACATTTAAAAAAAAATTTTTTTTTTTTTTACAATTTCCAGTGTTGAGATATCTTTATAATAGATTTAGCCTACAGTCACAGAAAGAGAAAGTAAGTTATAAATATCATGTAAGATTTGCATTTATGTCATCGTATTTTTTAGTTTGCATGTTATGTAGATAATGTCAATAATTATGTAGATAATAATTATGTAGATAATGTCAAGGAGTCAGTTTGGGTGAAATTTCTTGAAATTATTTTGAAAAAATATTTAAAAATTGAGCTAAAAAGGAGTTAAAGAACCTCAGTCACATAGTGAGGAGATTAAGTTTGATTAGTAGAATTTATTTGAAACCCTGATGTACTCATTCTAGTCTTATATTCATCACTTGAAAATGGATTTACTTGTTTCTCTTCCATGTTCAATTTTCATTCATCAAAACAAAAACCCATCACTCTGTGTTAAACAATCTAGCTAAAGCCCAGCTGGACCTGAAGGATGCTTATTCAGGTGACAGCAAAGTTATCCTCAGAGTCCTCCATAAACTACTGATTACCCACCTCAGATGGCCCCATACATGGTCCTCTTTCTCTTTCTTCCATTCTCCTTTCTTCTGCACTGTTTCAAGTCTTTTCTATTCTTTTTAGCCAGTGACCTCACCTTCTACTTTACAGAGAGAGCAGCCTTAGAGCTCTCTGTTCTAGATATTAAACATCTCTCCCACTCTTTCCTCTTTCCCTCCTGTTACAGTAGAGACGTTTACCTTTCTTTCATCTTAGGTTCGTCCTGTGACTTGTCCTTGGGACTTACCCTCTTCACCCTCTTCAGCATCCTATTCATCTTCTCTCCAGCACTTCCCCAGGCTTCGAAACATTCTTCGTTTTCTCCTGCTGAAGATAAAAACAAAACAGCCCTTGCTTAGACTCATTCCCATTTTCCCTATGCTATCCTGGCTCTCTTACTTGATTGAGCCAGAGTTTATGAGATGAGTTCATTTCATCACTTCCTTCTCACACTCAATTTATTTCATCTGGCTTTAGCCTCTTCTCAGCTGTTAAATAGTAGAGCCCACAAGCCTTGGCCCCGGCCTTCTCCTGTTCTCATTTTATATATTATCCTTTGGCAGTCTCTTCTACTCCTGTGGTTTCTGTTACTACCTCTACACATATGGAACCCACAAATATATATCCCTAGCTTAGTCTCGCCATATATCTAGTTGCTTCCTAATATTTCCTTCTGTGTTTGTAAGGGCACCTCAAGCTTGATATATCCACAATCACTCTCATCTCTCTTCTCCCCAAACTTGGTGCTTTTCCCCAGTTTTCCCTTTCTCATTGACCATCCATCCAGTGCTGGGCCAGATTCCTAGCATCATCCCTGATAGACACCTCTCCCTCACCAGCCCCTTTCTCAAAGTAGTAATCAACATTGCCTATCTATCTCATTGCCTAAATATTTCAAATCCATATGCTTCTATACTTCCACCACCCTAATCTAAACTGACGTCATGTTTTTCCTGGATCTAGTCTGTACACGCTCCATATGCTCTCCTCTTTCTGCCATATCTGTTCTTAACCCAGTAGGCAGAGTGGTTTTTGGTTTTTTTCAAAACCAAATCTAACCCCTGCTCAACCCCTGTGATGTTATCTCATTGCCGTCAGTGTAAAAGCCACAATTCTTACTGTGGCCTACAGAGCCCCTCATGATGTGGGTCCGGCCTGTCCCTTGGGCATCTGGCATGCCTCTCACTGTGTCTGCCCAAGGCCTACTGGTTTTCTTTCAGTCCCAGGTATTTCCCATGCCTTCTCCCCTTTGCACATGCCCTGTCATTCTCTCTGCCCCAGGGACTGTTCGTAAGAATTCAGATCAGAGCTCACTCCATCAGCTGCTTATGGACCAAGTCAAAGCCCCTTCTCCTATGCTCCCTCTGAACTGTGCATCTCACCTTCATGCATGTGATTATTTGATCATTGTCTTTCCTCCGCCGTTGCACCATAAACTCCATGAGAGTAAGGACTTGTCTTTCTCTGCTTCTAGGATTGTTCCTTGCAGAGGAAGCACCCGATATATGTTGTATGAATGAATACACAAGTGCATAGATGAATGAGCTCTTGTTACAGAACATTGTGCCGCTGTATTTACTGCAATTTTTGCTTATTACCTTGTCATCATATGTATCCCCCTACTAGATTCTGGGGGCTTGTCTCCTTCATTTTCCTGTGGGCTATGGGGTTTCCTTGCCTGTGGTAGACATTCTGCAGATGAAACACAAGTTGATAGAATGAAATGGCAATAGCTAATTAAAGCAAAGAATTCTTCCAGTATGTAGAGTCTTTTAGAAAAAAAAATTAATATCCATTTTAGATGTCAAGATTTATACCACTTCTTGAGACTCATGGATTAAATCAATTACTTACAAGATAGCTTAGTTTTAAGGACTAAAACTGCATAGGAAAATTATCATCTGAGTGTTGGCAGTTACTGTCTTTTGCTCTTCCTAAGAATGTATCTGGCTTATATGATTTTCTCTCTACATTGACACTAATATACAAAACTTCTGTTAACTGTGGCAGTAAAAATTTTCATGTCAGCTCTATAAAGCTTTCACTTCAAAATTAAATAAGTGATTTGTTTATTCCCATCCAAAATTCTTTTGATAGTAATTGATTGAAATCTGATCCAATGTTTTTATAATCCTATGTTGGTTAAAATTTTCTTTTACTCAGCTATAGATTATGGGACTTAGATCAATAGCTTCTTTTAAATAAAAAATGAACTAGAGGAGATAAAATAGATTTTAATTTCTAGTGAAATTGATTAAAAAGACATATGTTACATGTGATATACCTTAAATATTTTAGAAAGTGTTTTTAATTTCAACTCAGACTCTAATGTCTTAAATATCAATAGTGGAAAGTGAAGTGGGGAGACTTCACTGGATAGGAAAGGGCTTTATAAACTCTGGGTTTTTCATAAGACTTACAGTTATAAGGTTACCTTTCTAGGAGGCTCATTAAAATATTAGTAGTTCAACAGTTAAATATCTTATTGAGCCCCTTATTCCTGTAAATTAAGAAAGTACATGAATGGTGGAGCCCTGGGTGAGACTTTGCCCTGCCAGCCTGTCCAGCCTCCAGCAGTGTTATTTGCTCAAGGTACTTTATGGTACTGAACCACAACTCTTCTATAAACTTCTCTTTCCTGTCTTTCTAAAGACCAGAAACTGCACAGTTTTGTAATTCTCAAAGTGCCTAACATTATTATTTCCTTTTACAAAACTTTCATCAAAATGTCTTTGAGTCCGAATCATTGTTTTATTCCAAAAGTAGTTAAAGGGTGAAGAAGCTTGCACTTTTGATTCCAAAGGGAGCTCTCTTTCCTCTAGAAGGTTAGGGACGTATCTGGGTGTGATTTTCCAGCACAGGTTCACAGAGTGATGTGTGATTCCATGAGATTCACCTCATGCAGAAGCTTTTAAGCTTTGCATTCCCAGGGCCCTGATTCTGTACATTTGGTTTAGAACCCAAGAATCTATGTTTTTTAAAGGCTTCCCAAGTCATTCGGTTGTATGGTTAATTTGGGGAACTACCCAGAGTCAAGAGAACTGATCTGGCTTGGGGGATTAGTATATATGCACATTATTGCTTCTAGGTATAGGTGGTCAGTTAAGAAGTGTCCTATCTACTCACTGAAGTGTCCAGGAATTTCTCCAAGAGCATACAACAAAGCCAGAGAGCTTTTTCTGAATGTTTCTTGACCTGGAATGGACTTAATACCTCCCAAATCTGATAAGGCAGGTGTTTTCCTTTCTGTTGGAATCTTTTATCTTTTGTTACTCAAAAGTGATTTTGTCAGCAATCCTGACCTAGATTATGAAGTGCTTTGATCTTGGAGTACATTTAAAGTGTCTTGTTGAAAATGTTCCCTCTCTATTCATGTTATTCTACAAGCTGCATTAAATTTTGGTATTGTTGGAGAATATTATTTTATAGGCTTTATTTAATCTTTCCTTTAAAAAATAATGTGGAATGGATACATTTTCTACAGCTCTTTCAGACATCATATTTTTGTGTGAGTATCTTAATATTGCAGTGTCCCTCTGCTGCCTTTAAATTTCTTTTTCTCTCTTCCTGGTCTCAACTGTCATGACATCAACTGTCAGTTGCTGGCACCATGCTAATCACTGTTTGCTAGCATCCTTCTGTCCAGTACTGATCTGACATTCTGAATGTTAAGCTCTGTATTTCTCTTGATCCTATCTTGTCACACAGATAAGTAGCCAATCCTTTTATTTGAGCCCTGTATTATAAAAAGGATGCAAAATCAGAATATATCATCGAAGTAGTCATCTAAAAAAATAAGATAAATTAAGTTTGTTTTAAATACAGCTGGTGATCAAAGGACCTTTTTACATAATTATTTTCTCTTCTTAGTTCTTCAGTGTGTCTGTATTTACTCCTTAGGCATTATTGGTTAGGAGTCTACTTAGTCATTCATTTAATTAATTTTGTATGTGATCTAGCATATTTGTATTTCCAACCTTGGTAGACTTATTTAATGTTTGAACATACAGGACTGTTGCCTGTAAGTTTATGCCATAGCAAAGAGTAAAGTATTTTTAAATTATACTGAATAACCAGTGTGCTGAATGAATGTGTGATAACTATTCAATAACATGTAAAACAGTTTCTGTTTTGGGAATAAAATAGAATGAAGCAATTGGCAATGACTTACTACGTTTCTTTAAAGAAAACAATTGATGATCTAGATACGCTCCCTGTGTTATTTATATTTAGAAATCGGATTTATTTTGAGAGTTTTTATTCTTTAAGGTCCTATTATTGGGTAACATTTAGCTCCTATCATATAGTAACATTATAGAATGTAGCCTTGGATCATTACATGCCTTTATGCTCTTGTTAAGTGTATAAATGAAACCATGAGAATATAATGGGTGAAACCTGAAGGACAAGAGAGATAATGTTTGATGATGTGAAGATATGTGAACATCCCGGTCATTCTACTTTAAGAGTTTTGTGATAGGTTGAGAGTTTCCATAAAAAGTGATGCCTTGTCCTAAAGTGTCCATGGGAAATTTTTTCAGTATTTTTAGTATTAAATCAACAGAGAGGGTATTTTTAGACATGTGAGTTAGGTGGACCTTATTCATTTTTTTATATTTTTTATAACTGAACTTGATAGTCTTCTATGTATTTTGTAAGACTGTTATTTATAAAATATAATAAAATCAGAGTATTCATATATCCTTATATTTAAACTCTGTCATGTAATTCAATTATTTTTTCTTGATAGGAAGAAGAAAAGTATCCGGTCAGTTATCCTTCCCTCCTTAGCCATGTAACTTCTTCTTTCCTGAATCATCCAGTCTTTCCAATGACAGAAAAGTTCACTGCACCCACCCTTGAGATGCTGGATGAATTCTCTCCGTTACTGTCATCTTTGCCTTGTGACACTCATTTGGTTAATCTGAGGACAATACAGTCAAAGGTATATCCAAAAATATGTCTATAAAAAATTACTGTTTATAATTACATATTTTAAGGGGTAAGGAGAGGGGGAGAGTTAACTATAAGCTTTGTTACTATACTTCAAGGAATGATGAAGAGGACTTCACCTTTAGTCAAAATTATTATGCCTTTTATTTGACTTTTGCTCTGTAGTTTAGAGTATAATTTTGCTTCTGATACTAATTTCTTGGTTTCTCAGAAAAGTTCTGTGCGGTGAACAGGTCAGGGCATATCATCTTCTTTTTACAGATAAGGAAGGTAGTATTGGCCTAAAGTCATAATTAGTAGATAGGAGAACCAGGCCTTAAGGTCAGGTCTACTGACTTTCTCCATTCATTTCTCCTCGTTAGTCAGTGTTTCTCAGGAGTCAGAGAAGTAGAAAGCATAGTGCTTAATTATTTCAGTATTAGAGGCTTTGTGTTTTCATATCTTTCTCTTGAAAATCACTGCAATTTAAACCTTCATACTGAGAAACCAACTGTTTAGGAAAATATTGGAGGGAGAGCATGGGAAAGTTTTATTAGGTATGAAACTTAATTCAGCTAGACTCTTTTAGTTTACATATATGCTTGTTTTTAACATCAAATAGATTGCATTTGAAAAGAATAAGACATTTGACATCAGTCTAATGTGTTGTGGAGCTGTTTCAGTATTGTGAATTGACATATATTTAGCTGGAAATAGTAAGTGGTTATGGATTTTGTGGAAAATATCCTATGATAAATGGCCTAAGTATGAAAGGAAGGGGATTCTCATGTTTAAAGACAACATAAGAGGAGAGAAATGTTTAATTTAAGAACAAAGAACTAAAGTACACTAAGTAAAGATAAATGCCAATAATTTGGACATTTAGGGATTTACAAACTTTATGTTCAAGATGAGGACCTTATGCCTGGCTATGCAGGAGAATATACATGGCATGTAATAATGAATGCAAGTGAAAGCTAGAGGCCTGTGTATATATATCTCTCTGTGTTGAAAGTCTTGTTTTATAACATGAGTGAACTTGCAGGATTTATTTCATACCTACTACACACCAGTTACTGCCATACTCACTAGGGATAAAAATGTGAACAAAACAGAAAAAAGCCCTTGCACTTCTGGAGTTTAAATTCTAGTGAGAGGAGAAAAGAAGGCAGAAAAAAAAAGAAAAACATAATATGTTAGATGGTGATAAGTGTAATGTAGAGGAAAAAAAGGGAAGGGAGGGCGATTCAGAGTAGAGATACGAGTTTGATTAGGGTGGTTGGAAAGGGCCCCACAGAGAAGGTGATAATGGAGTAAAAATCTCAAGGAGGTCAGGGAATATGAAAGTCACACAGATTTCTTGTGGCGGAGTGCTCCAGGCAGAGATAAGGGCGAGCATGAAGGGCCTGAGACAGGAGATATGGTCAGAACGTAAGCTCCATGAGAGCTAGGCTTTTCTTTTATTCATTGCCATATCCCCCTGCCTGGAAGAGCGCCTGCACATAGTAGGGGCTCAAAAACTATCTGCTGAATGAGTGAATTGTGTGAATGTTCTTTCTAGCATTCTGCCATGGATGGTCTTTTGTGGCTCATGGAAAGAGAAGACTAGGGATGGAAAGCTTCCCTAAGGTAATATGTCATTAATGTTATGAGCTAAAAGAGAACAAAAGGATAGAGTGGAGGGCACCAAAGACTCTGGGCCTCAGGTCACCACCTCAATGCATAAATGGTAGAGGCCATTAGCAACCTGAAGAATGCAAAGGCATTGGGGAGGACAGAGGCCCCTGTCCCTTAGCCTCACTTCTGGATGTTCTCTACCCTGTAATTTTTTGAAATGTGTTTTGTGGAAGCAGCTCAAGCTGACTAGAGTCAGTGAGTGTGGGGTTTAACCTATATTCCAAGGCACTTGTTTTCCATGTCACCTCTTTTTAGTGGTAATTTACTTCCTTATTTTCTTCCTGCTGTTGGCTATCTTCCTGTAATACAGATCTAATCACTTCCCAGATTAAAAATCCCATTGCCTACCAAATTGGTTCAGACTCCTAAGCATTCAGGCCTTCTGCAATCTGGCCTCCACTCAGTGGGGCTTCCCCTTGCTCCTCCCACCTTTGGACAGGTGGATGGCCTTCACTGCCTGTGGTCACTGACTGTGACTCAGCTACCATTTATTAAGTGGGGCAAATATCAGATATGCCTGCATCAGGTCTGTTGTGAGAAGTAGATGTGAAATAATGTGAAAGCCCTTCGAAAACAGAATCACTTCGTAAACATACCTAGTTATCCTGATGTGCTTACAGTATATGCCACTTAGGGTGCAAATTGGGGTTTTAGCAGAGGGTGTAGAGAGCAATTTAACAACATAAAGATTTGACCAGGAAGAATAAAAACAAACGTTAATGCTTATCAATAACTACCATGCTAGTACATAATCTGAACTAAATATTGGGGGCTGTTTCACAATATTGTATCAACTGGTGCTGGTTCCTATGTTAGCCTTATTTATTATTTATCATTATCTTAGCACATATTTATAATAGTTGTTTAAAAGCCCAGTAATAATCCAACGGGATTGATTGGTTCATTGAGAGGGAGGGGGCGAGGGAGGAATTGGTAAAGGGACACAAAAATCAACTACATTGTTTATTAATAAAATAAAAAACAAAACAAAACCAAAAAAACCCAAAACTACTACTTTAAAGAATTGTTCTCTGTCCCCTAACCTCTGATAATAGAAAGATAATCATGGAAGAAAGATGATGGGGGTATTGATTCAAAGAAAGTTGTTACTTACAAGGTGTCCAGTGTCATTCCATGGTTATACTAAAAGACAGACAAAAATGACTCAATGAATAAATCCAAGCACTAGACCTAAACATTTTGGATTGTGTTCCTGTTTTTTCGTGCTGGCAGCATACAATAATAGGTTGTTCATTTGGAGATTGGAACTCATTTTTCCCCTTAAAATAATGTCAACGTAGAGACCAGCTTCCAGTGTAAGCCAGCCTGCATTGGCCTGTGTCTAGGTAAGCGTTTTCCTAAGCACCACAGTGGTTTCATGAGAAATGTGCCTGAGAACCACCTTGGCATGGCAAGGGCACATGTCTATTCCTGCAGAGTGAGAGAGGTGAGGTGTGGGCTGGAGTTGTGATAACCAGCTGAGGTGGTTCAGCAGTTCCAACACCAGTCCTCAGATTCTCTGTGTCCATATCGCACCTGGGAGATTTTAAAAATAGAGACTTTTACAAATTTCCTCATCTCTGAGATTCTGATTCTGTATATCTGAATGGAGAGCCTAGGAATTAGTAATTTTTTAAAAGAACTCTCCTTCTGATTCCAGAAATTGCTGAGTTATCTCCATGTCCTAAATTGGGAAAGTAAGGCTTAGAGAATAAATGATTAAAATAAAACTACCCAACAGTAAATGACAGAATCAAATCCACGGCCAGGTCTTCTGAATGTGAGTGCTGTGTGTGGCATTCTCCTTCTGATTCCAGAAATTGCTGAGTTATCTCCATGTCCTAAATTGGGAAAGTAAGGCTTAGAGAATAAATGATTAAAATAAAACTACCCAGCAGTAAATGACAGAATCAAATCCACGGCCAGGTCTTCTGAATGTGAGTGCTGTGTGTGGCATCTGAGGTAGTATTTAAGTGTAGAGTTACTAAAATCTGTTCCTAAAAGTCCAGTTTTTCAGAAATAGTTCTATATTAGTAGAAGACTTTATGTTTTATCTAGACACAGCTTGCTTTTCTACTTTTTATCTGTTTCTGGAAAATGATTGTATGCCATGTCATTGCAATCAGATGAAGAGGGAACAAACATCTCTAGAAGGGCCTGCCTGAGAGCATGTGATGTGGCCTAGGCCATTCCAGCTGCTGTCTGGGATTTAACTGTTAGCTTCCTCGTCCTGTAGGTCTGTCCTCCAACTCTCTTCTCTTGATAACTCCCTTTCCCTACACCATCCATGGCTTAAGATACTACAAAGAAGCTTCTATAAAGGTTTGAAAATGGGGGGCAGGAGCACCCTACATGGGAAAGCCGTGCCATCAGGAAAGAGTAATTATTTAAGGAGAAGGGGGTCTTGGCAGAGAGGATGCTGGGAGAATCTCATGGGACAGTTCAGCCTGGAGTAGAGGGACAAAAAGGAACCTGATGAAGCCATTCAGCCATGCTTCATGGAAACCATTCTGCCTTGATGTTTTGAAAAGCAATATGTAGTTCAGCTTTTTTGTTTTCCTGTTTTCATATTGCTTCCAGTGCTTTTACATTCAGACATTTTAATTTAATTTACATATACACACACATATAATACATTTAACTCTATTTGCTGTGGCAATTATTTTGATTTGTGGTTAACTTTCTTGCAAATAGAATAATTATTTCAACATCAGCACCCCTTATCGGGTAAGATTTTCTCTCTCCACTTGTTTTTGCCACCCTTTCTTTTCTTATAAAAGGCAGTTCACAGTTTTTACTTATTTTGGCTTTCTTATAAGAATTGATTGGTGCTTTATTGATCTCCCTAGCTTCTGGAAAGGTGAAAATTATGGGGGGGAAATTTCCTTTGTTGTACATTTCTAAGAGCATCCATTCACCTTTCATTTCTTTCTGTCATCTTATCTTGTTGATCAAAACAGGATAGCTGTTATTGGACATTTTAATGAGTGCCCTGGAAAATGAATTTCTACTGGTTATTTCCTGTCTCAGGTCTTGTAACAGAGTGTACAGTTTTTTAACCTGTCCATCTGCCAGAGTGTACTACAGATGAGTATTGTTAGGCATTTTCAAAGAATCTGAGAGGGTTGGAGAAATTCTCTTGCCAGGTATTTAGCCGTGTCTAATGGCACATAGCCGTTCTATGTGCACCTTAGAAGTCCTGCAGGGAGGAAGGGGTTACACTACTCTTGGAGAATCTGATCAGTTATGACCCTTTTCTTCCCCAGAAAAACAACAGGTAGTCACATAATGTTAACTACAGTTTTGTTAAGTTTACTGTTTTGCAACACTCATGTT